TCCAATGAGGATATTTAGCCATTCAGAAATTACCAACATCATACTGAAACGAGGAAAGGAGAACTAATGGTGTAGTGTGAGGATCACCCTCATCGATTACCCTGCATGCGGCCAGCTGGTAAATAGGAGTATGTACTCTGATCTTAATCCCATTTATCTGAAACCGGTCAAAGGTGATTCATAAAAGGAAGAGGTTTAGTTGTTTTAATTTTAAAGCCTAATTAACACATTGCAGGAGTTCTGAGTTTGTTTCTCCTCACTAGTCTGATGTTTATCTCCATCCTTTCCAGAGTGAACTGCCCTTCATAATACTACTTTAATTATTTAATTGCCAAATATCTGCTGACAAAGTGCCAGTTTTTTTTAATCATATTTATGTGCCGTTTTACCCACATTCTGTTCATCTGCTATTCGCTTATTTCACACAGCCGCTATTTTGAGACGCGCTGGTGGGAAGAAACTCTGAAGTATGTTGGAAACTGGGCTGAAAATAAAGAAAGCTACATTACCAGTGTGGGATAAATGGTTAAATATATTACATTATCGGTCAGATAATGACCCTGACTACAAAGCATTCCTGCAGCTTCAAAATAGGAACTTGCACAACAGTAAGATATCCTTTTACATGATTTTCTTCATACTTTTCCTTGGTTCTTCCCAACTGAGGCTGTCTTTCAATTTATACGATGGCGGCCATGCGAAAAAAGCGAATAGCTGCAAAACAATCAGGGCATTGGTTCATCAGGGATTTCATCCATCTCTTGTTGTAACCATCAATTCTTTTACTGAATGAAAATAAACATGCTTTCATATTGTGAACTTTATCAAAAATGTATTTGTGTTTACTTATAATTTCACTTCAAGTTACAGTGCTCAGCATAAATGCGTACACCCGCTTAAAAAGTACGAATTTAATCAGTAGCTTTCAAAACCAACAAGTTCCAACCTTTTCATAATGCTAAGTTTTATTTTTGAACTCCATAACATGAAATTAAGGTTAATAATTTAACTTGGATCATGTTTTTAGGCTGCAATGAAAAGCTGACTATGATTTGAGTTTGGTAGACATGAACTAAATACAGTGGGAAACACACCAACATTAGTTTAAAAGTGGAAATCTTGTATATCAGAACATTATTTAAAATTTATTTCAACCAAAACATTACAACACCATTTTACATTTTGTTAGTCTAAGCGTAATGAATTATGGAGCCTCCAGCTATAAATAGAAATCCACTGAAATTAAATGTTAAATCCCACAGGTCGTTTTATGGAAGGCTATAGGTATTGAATGTGACTAGCCAATCAGAAACGAGAAGCATCCACTTCGAGTTGCAGTTCAACAGCAGAGTCTTTTGAGACGTTCGTGCCTTAATAAATGATGGAAGAAACTCCCGAAACTTGTTTCTTTCACTATAATCTGATATGAGCAGGCTATATTTATGTACAATTATAGTGAAAGAAAACTTTAATAGTTGAGAAATTAACAGTTTTTTTTATTAAAGTTAAACACTGCTAAAAAAATCTTAAGTTGAAAAAGCGTGCTCTGAAATAGTTTTATTTTATTTGGTTTTGAGCTCAAGATAATTAAATAGGAGTCAAAGTCTTTTCAAATATTGTTTAAGCAAGAGTCTTGACAAAAATGTTGATATATTACAGCCAGAATAAGTCATAGTACTTTTGATGCTTAAGTACATTTTAAGACAAATATTTTACTCAAGTGAAATTCAGAAAGGAGCACTTTTACTTTGACTGGAGTAATATTTTACCATGGTGGCGCAGTGGGTAGCTGGAAGGAGTTTGCATGGTCTCCCTGTGCTTGCGTGGGTTTACTCCAGTTTCCCCCACAATCCCAAAAACGTGGTTATGTTAATTGAATAGTCTAATTTCCCCTTAGGAGTGAATATATTTTGCCCTGTGATGGAATGTCCAGGGTGTACCCCCTGCCTCCTTATGTGAGCTTGAAGATTTTACCAAGTGTAAAATCACATGGAATGAAGATTTTACCAAGTGTATCTCTACTTTAACTCAAGTACCACCACTGATAATTCTACACCCATGATCTTCACATGCAAAGTGTACTTTTTAACACCGTGTATTGTTAATTCAACACTGGGAGTTTACATTTCACACTGGTGAAAACACTGTAAGATAATATTGAAGATTTTTTGGAGTTCTAAAAAAATCTCTTTTTGAAAAAATATGAAACTTTTAGCAATCCTTTTGTGTTTGTGGTTTATTTTCTGAATTTAAATGGAATAGCATTTCTACTATTTTACCTGCAGATACAAGACCATTTCATTTGTGTGTGTGTATATATATGTATAACTTTTTTTTAAACCAAATTTTACATATATGACATGAATCTTGGCCAAAACAATACCAGGGAATATTTATTCATTAGTGCCGCCTGAAGCTCATGACACTTCATGATGTGGTTTTCATTAATTTGCCTGCTTGTATTGTGTCGCTGGAATACATACATTGGGCATACAAGCAAATATAGATGCAATGACACTATCTGCCTGATGATGGTGTTTGCAGTACAACAGATGCCTAACAGTCTAAAGCGAGCCACAATTTCTCACTTTTCTCCAGACTTTTAAAGCTCTTGTAAAACAGCTCATTGTGCCACAGCCACCAATGGTATAAACCAGGGGTGCTCATTACGTTGATCGCGATCGATCGGAGGTGCTACTGGTCGATCGCAGCGTGAAATTTAAACATTATCAGCCGATCATTCATCCCGTCACAGTTCAGTAAAGTTATCTGCAGATTCACGGATTCGGTTTTCTCTGCTCAATAGCTCGAGACCAGAATGTTCTTAGTAAACAAATAATAGCTATTTTTAATCTGTGTTATGTAGCGGACAAACTACAAAACGTTTTTATCAAAACAAGTTTCCCTCGGCATTCGCAGAAACACATTAACGTCTATGAGCAACCCGCTGACATGGAATCGCTTAGGGACCGTCTGCAAATTACCAGATCCAAAATATGTTTTACCCAGAATATGCTTCATAACTTCATTCTAAATAACTCTATTATAACCAAAATCAAGCAACACGCCACTCCTCACCTGCATATTGTACTGCACGACTCAGTTTCTATAAATATTGAAATATTTATTAGAGCATCATTTTTATTCTTGATTATTTGGATCAAAGCCCAATTTCTCCCATAAAAATCACTCTATTACCATCAATTCAGGTCACACACAACTGTTCTAATGATTCAATTCAGTGCAAGTCATCAAATTAAACTCACGTTATTACAAAAAATGTAAATAATTAATTATTATGTGTGTTTTGTCAGTTCTCAATAAAGTTGAAAATTTTTGTTTGATGTTTTACATTTTTGTAGCGGGTAGATCACTTTGACTCAGTCATTTTAAAAGTAGCTCACAAGCTGAAAAAGTGTGAGCACCCCTGGTGTAAACCATATTTTCTGTGTTTTTAGTTTTTTTTTCTTCTTCATTCTTGTTTCCTGTACAAAGTTGATATTTAAATGTGTGATGAGTGCCATTGAGTGGCTCTTTTACGTCCTACTCTTATCAAAAGAGCCAGCTTTCATTGGTACCACTAGTTTGGTGCGGTGTTTGCCGTTGGCGCCCATCTTCCATTCCCACACACTGGTCACTGAGGTGCTCGAGCCGTTTAATCTTTGCTTGCAGATCTAATTTGACCCCTTCTCAAGTGTTTACGGTCCCCCACAGATTTTCAGACATGTATGTGGTTGATGCCTAGACTTTTTAAACGCATTGTTTCATTTCAGAAGTCGAGGAAGATATATTTTGGTTGAATCAGATGCAGGAAAAGCACAGACAGTTAGGGGAAACATGCATTTTTATTTTAGATTATAATGACGTATTGTATATTAAATTGAGTTATTTCAAAGAACAAAAACCCCTGTCTATTTCTCGGGTGGAGGGGCTTTCTTCTTCACTGCGCGGGTGAGGGTCTGGTGCACCACCGGGTAGAGTTTGTGGCAGCCGTCCATGCAGGTTCTCACTGCCTCCGATAAAGTATCTTCTCGCATCTCACCGTCCGCGAGCAGACCAGACACTTGATTCAAATTGGGAAGAAGAGCCAACGTCACACACCCCTGGTTCTCCCCGTACCCCTCCTGCCAGTTCCCGTACTCTTCTGAATGTGATGGATCCACGAGACACGCGTTTCCGCTTTGGCGCAGCGAACATCCCAGAACCACATCGTACATCTCGATCCCAGCGTCCGCGAGGGCCATTGAGGCGCAGGTCACGGCGTGTGCCAGTACCGAGCCGTCGTTCTCAAGAACCATCAGGTTTACCTCGATTTGCGAACGCGGGTACCTGTGCAGACACACGCCCGGCTGCAAGCTCTCCAGCAGGGTAGCGGACAGGTCTCGTTCCTCGCTGCCCTGGATCCAGGCACCCCGTTTCAAACAGGAGAACGGCGCGAGCCTGAAGTCACAAACGAGGCGGCCAGTTTTCATGTCCGTTTCATCCTTGCGTTCTGTTTCCTTCGGGCCGTATACCGAGCAGATGATTTTGGTATTTCCAGCCTCAATGTACGCGGAACCTTTTGCCTGGCTGATGAGTCCGCAGCGCGCGAACACTGGGCGAACATCTCCGTTCCCCCGGACGCCCTCCCGGCTCACACGCTGGGGAACTTTATCAGGAGACAGAAAGAGTAGCGGAGACTGGGACTCCTCCGGTCCACGGATACGCTTCGTATCAACCGGCATTTCCGAGCAAACCCTCGTGTTCGCGTTAGCATTGCTTTAGAAAGGAAGGGTGTTCTTCGTGGAGACAAAGTTGAGTCACGATGGAACTCTTCCGCCATCTTTCGGAAGGGCGTGATAATATAAATAAATACATAATAAATAAATGTACTTGATATAGTACAAAATATTGTTTCCGTGGAGCAGTACCAAATGAGTTTAGGTGATATGGTATTAAAAAAATAAATAAAAAAAAAAGCTTTGTTCAGGATGTAATAACTCAAAAAGGCAACTGAAAAAGCTTTCCTGTGGCTCGGTTAGTAGAGCATTGCGCTAACGACGCAATTGTAGTGGGTTCAAATCCCAGGGAAAGCAAAAACTGACAGAAAAAAATGTGTTCATTCAAATGTAATTCGCTTTGGATAAAAACGTCTGCCAAATGCATAAATGTAAATGAAAAAATATTCTTAAAACTTTTGCATCCATAAGAGTGTTTGGGTGTACCCCCCCCCCCCGACAAATGACAGTCCATAAAACTTACTATGAGGATGTAAAGAGTTTTTGAACACATCTATAAGCGAAAACGAGAAATGGAACCTCGAAGCACAATTAACAGGTCACCTAAACTGGTTATCTAAACTTCCTGGGGTTAATAGATTCCATAAGGTAATGTAAACTGTCATGACATCAGTGTTTTTACAGGTTATGCCAAATATATTTAGCAGGGAAGTGCTGTTGAATCTATAATTATTCCAGGCATATCAATATTTTCAAGTTGCTTATTAGTGTCTGGGCCAGTGACTATATATAACATGGACGAAGTGTCAGTGGTTACCCATTGGTTTCTGGCAAAGTGAAACGAGGCTCAAAGTAGGCATTACCTGCCCTTGTGAAAGTGAGTCACTTCCCAGAAATCAAAAACAACACACAGTAAAATCTAAAGTTCATCAGATGAAATTAGCTGGCCAAATAAATCTTAAAACATCAAATAAATAAAAAATTCACCACCCTTAGTGTGTCCATAAAGGTCAAATCTAGGGATTAAAATCGACAAAACTAATCAAGGCAGGGTTGAAAATTTTTTTTTTTTTTTTGCTCCAATGTTGGGCAATTTAACATATGTAGCTGTTGAGGAACTGTAGTTCAGTCACTTCCTAATACACATCATGAGGGAAACCAGGAGGTTACCCTTTGGTCTGGGCTCAGCCCCGAAAGATTTCATGCCCAACAAACAACCACAGTTGCATCAAATGATGGAGCCTGATTCATCTTGATTGATGGGAATATATAAATAATAAATTCCAGAGAAGACAGGACAAAGCTTGATGTCCAAATATTTACTAAAATGAACGATTAACACAATAAAGATATCTGGAACTGCTAACGGCTTTAGACAATGCAAGGTTCAAGTTCCTGGTGACCTGGTCTTTTAATAGCTTTTAAATCTTTTAGGCAGAGCTTTTCTTTCCTTTTAGTGAAAATTGGGTGTAGTATGTGCATCTTTCACCGGGTGAAATGGAGGGATTTCTGCAACGACAAACACAATGTGAGCACCACGAGATATTAAACTAATCCGTTCCAGGGTAACGTTCATATCTCGAAGCAAGTTTCACATGTAAAACGCCTAAACCATGAAACGGCTCTCAGAAACAACATTATAAGTAGATGAAAAAAATGGAAAACCAGAGAAAAATCAAGTAACGTTTCTTCAATCCTTAAATCTACACATTGTTAATGTAATAAATGATAATAAAACACAAAGTAAATACGTAATATTTACATAAATGTGAAACCTTACCTTGAGAGTGAGGCAATGTGTCAGAGGAGGTGAAGCGGGTGGCGGACGACATTACAGCACTACAACTTTCTCAAGATATTTCACCAATTACGAACACCAACACGGTTTCAAGCACAAGCATAAAGAATACAGAGCGTGTGAGAAGGGATGGAGAGAGCGCTTCTGAGAACGCGTCACTGGGTTTCTCAAACTCATGCTACAGAACAGCACTTTCCACGTTATAAATGTAATTTCCTTGACTCTAGCATTTGTTTTAGTACATTATTGGTAATCTATACATAATGTTTAGCTCAATTTAAAATTGATTTAAAGTGTTTTAAGGCGTATCAGAAGGGAGAAAGGAGCGCAAGGATGCGGAAGCGCAGCGCGACGTCACACAAACAAGTGTAAAATACGAGCAGAAATGTTTGCTATTGTTCGTATCTCAATTTTTTCTTCCAATCTTGAAGGCCTTTCGTATCTCTAACATTTCGTAACTCGAAGCATTCGTATCTCGGGGAACCACTGTATTTTAAAAATAGTTCATTAAAATGCAGGCAAATTAAAGTTGTGAGGAACATTGTGGGAACTTAATGAACCCTTCATGGTATGCCAATTTCATTTATGGACGTTTCACATTTGTGTGTTGCTAGCTCCGTCTTTCCCTCTGTTTGACTCTCACGGGTTTGTTTCCCGGATATCAAGAGAGAAGTTGTCGTTTTGTGGATAGCGCATCACTTCTGGGGAAGGGAAATCGGACCTTTTAAGTCCAGCGTTGACGTAACAATTTGACTCGCGTGACTTTGTCAATGCTGTGAAAAAACCAAACAAAAAATAGTTTTTGACTTTTATAAATCACTATAAAATGCTCAACATGTCATGACCCCGAAAAAAAGTTGCCCCTCAATGAAATTGATTATTCTGAAGCGACTTTTGTTGACTCGTTAATGAGCCACGTGCCAAACATAAGCTAATCAAAGAGTGTTTGCTCAAAGTGTTCGAAGAGGGCTGCAAGATGAGCACTAATTACGTTTGACCAATGGATCGCGTGCTGACAACATAGCAGCGGCCTGGCGTGAATTCCTCAGGCTCTTTCGAGAGCAAACGGAGCATCTCGGTTTGATAAAAAAGGTAAAGCATTAGCTCCGGCATGAACTCAAGAGACGTCCATGTAACTTTAGAGAAGGGGGCATTTTTACTCGGAAGCGACCGCTACAGACGCTCGCGGGTCTGCACAACATTTCTCACCTGGGGACGAGATTTTTAAGGGTCTTACTTGAGATTGGCTCCCTGACAGCAGAGGCTTTATCCAGGAAAGTGCTGACCACTGCGGGGTCACAGAGCGAAGAGCTGTTCCTATATTGATTGTGTTTTAACAGGATTTTAAAGCGCGCTGCTGATAAGTGATAGATAAATATCGATAAGGTGCAGTTAGGCGCCAAGCATGGAGGAGCTGGCCCGAGAAAGCATCCGTAGCATGAGCCTTCTGTCCAAACCCGCTCGAGGCTCCGGCGTCCCGAGGCTCGGTTCTTTCGGGGCCGTTTTCATCATGTTGAAATCTGCCCTCGGAGCCGGACTCCTCAACTTCCCCTGGGCTTTTGAGAAGGCTGGAGGAATCCACACGGCTATTAGCGTGGAGCTGGTGAGTTCAGGAGACCTGGAAATGTGTTTGTTTGTTTGTTTTCATCTAGATTTCTATGGAAGCCCGTTTCCGCTACTGAAGATAAAATAGAACTCTTATCTCAGAATTCCATGATAAAAATACAAAGCTTTTTTTAAATCACGCAATTCTGAGAGTCAGAATTCTTAGAGAAAAATATTTATTGGAATTGCCACCTATGGGCCATTTCCCCAAATTGGTTCCATTTGCTTGCTGTAACTTGTTTTCTAATAACAAACATACTTTAATTTTCCAAATGGGTATTGGTCCATCGTAACTTATTTTAATGTTTTATTATCATTTTTATCAAAAGATTGGTGCCTTTTTTTCTTGTTACTAACCCTCATTTACTTTATTTTGGAATAATAACACACTAACAATACGTAAAAAAAGAAAAACGCTTTGGAATTAATGCACCAAAACATATTTTACATTAAAACAGAATCTATTTTTAAGAACATTCATCAGAACTATAATCTATAATCTTTTCCGCAGAGAAATAAAATGAGTTTGCTCTATCCATCTTCATTGTGATTGGTTATTCTGTGCCTACCTCAGTCTTTTATGTGCACACGCCTGAGAACTAATCATCACTGCTTCATAGTCACAACTGAGTCAGATTGTAGATGTTTGGTTTTGGTTTCAAATTTAAGTCACATTCATGATACAGGCCCCTGGTGAACCGCTCCTAAACCTTAAACACTTTCCCAAGCTCCTTTTGTGCCAGTGTGCTTTGTTTTGTGCCAGAACTATTAAAAAATACAGGCCATCTCACAGGGCTTGTACTTCTTATGGTTATTCCTTCTTTTCACCACTAGATGGCACTGATGCTACCCATTTGGACTGTTAAATGAAATTGAAAGAAGATTTTTTTTGTCACATTTGAATTAGAGTTAATATAAAAGCTAATATCTTTTGAAACCTACACATTCTTGAAATCAAAATTAAACAATAGTTAGGTTGCGTCACAGCTGCTGTGATGGGCACATGCAACAATGCGTGCAGAGATCACTGAGGACCTCTGAAATTGTTGAAAATCCTTGATATTATGAATAAAAGACTGTTGATTTGACACATTCACATACTGTTCTTCTAAGGTTAAAAACCAGTAGACCCAGACTACTTGAAATATACTTTTTCTGTCTCCTTTTCTCAGGTGTCACTGGTATTTCTCATAAGTGGCTTGGTGATTCTGGGTTATGCCTCTTCGATCAGCCGGCAGAACACATATCATGATGTGGTGAGAGAAGTGTGTGGGCAGCGGATTGGGCATCTGTGTGAGATCTGCTTTGTTTTCAACCTCTTCATGATCTCTGTGGCCTTTCTGGTGGTTGTGCAGGACCAACTGGAAAAACGTAAGCATGTGTGTGTTTTCTGTTCTGTACGATTCACTTTGTTTAACCGTGAACAAATGTAACAACTACATGTTCTCATCACAAATAGACATGTTTCACATTTGGATTGTGTGTTTCTTCAGTGTGCCTGTCTATATATGAGACCATGACTGGACACATAGATGGACATATGCCTCATCACTGGTACACAGATCATCGTTTTGCGCTCTTTCTCATGTGCTTTATCATCATCCTTCCGCTCTCGATTCCCAAAGAGATTGGCATTCAGAAATACACCAGGTGTGCTGATGTCTGACATACTCTAGATTTGTCATAGCAGACTATTCCTGTTTAAAATGATCTATTTGTTGATTGATTAAAATCTCTGAATTTTTAATTTCTATGTTAAATGCCAGTGTTTTAGGAACCTTGGCTGCTACGTACCTGAGTATAGCTGTAATTGCTAAATATTATCTGAAAGATGAGCACACAGCAGACCTCAGGCCAGAGCACAGTCAAGGGTGAGTAAGAGCTACTTCAAATCTGAAAAAAAACACAAAAACATTTTTTTTCAGATTTAAATCAGTGATTAATTCTGTGTGTAAGATTGGACTCGTGGGCCTCAATGTTCAGCGTTGTTCCCACCATCTGCTTTGGTTTCCAGGTCAGATTTAATATAAAATGGACATTTCTTTACTCACTGCTGTGCAAATACACTCACCGGCAAAATCTTCATTGTTCTTACAGTGCCATGAAGCTTGCATTGCTATATACAGCAGTATGGAGAATAAAAAAATTACACACTGGGTTTTCATCGCAGTCACTTCCATGATCTTCTGCCTACTTATTTATACTCTCACTGGTGAGTAAAGTTATAATTTATGAGAAATCCTTTTAATTCTTTTGATGATCATGAACAATATATTCATGATTGGACTTGATTGTGAAGTCACACTTTCTTTAATACTGCGATACTGTGCAGTGTTTCTATAATTATTGCTCTAATACTGCGATACTGTGCAGAAGTGATTCTATAAATATTACTGTGATACTGTGCAGTGATTCTATAATTATTGCTCTAATACTGCGATACTGTGCTGGGATACTATAATTATTGCTCTAATACTGCGATACTGTGCAGGGATTCTATAATTATTGCTCTAATACTGCGATACTGTGCAGGGATTCTATAATTATTGCTCTAATACTGCGATACTGTGCAGGGATTCTATAATTGTTGCTCTAATACTGCGATACTGTGCAGTGATTCTATAATTGTTGTTCTAATACTGCGATACTGTGCAGTGATTCTATAATTATTGCTCTAATACTGCGGTACTGTGCAGGGATTCTATAATTATTGCTCTAATACTGCGATACTGTGCAGACGTGATTCTATAATTATTGCTCTAATACTGCGATACTGTGCAGTGCTTCTATAATTATTGCTCTAATACTGCGATACTGTGCAGACGTGATTCTATAATTATTGCTCTAATACTGCGATACTGTGCAGTGATTCTATAATTATTGCTCTAATACTGCGATACTGTGCAGACGTGATTCTATAATTATTGCTCTAATACTGCGATACTGTGCAGTGATTCTATAATTATTGCTCTAATACTGCGATACTGTGCAGTGATTCTATAATTTTTGCTCTAATACTGCGATACTGTGCAGTGATTCTATAATTATTGCTCTAATACTGCGGTACTGTGCAGTGATTCTATAATTATTGCTCTAATAATGCGATACTGTGCAGTGATTCTATAATATTTGCTCTAATACTGCGATACTGTGCAGACGTGATTCTATAATTATTGCTCTA